GGCAGATAGGAGCACTCAAAACCCTTACAAATGGCAGATGTACAGACATATCAGTATGGTGAAAATATTAGTGTATAAGAGGAAATTCCTGACATAGAGAAGGCTAGCTAGACATAGTCAGTGGAAAGACTGTAAGGGATGCAGTGTGTCCTGTTGCAAGTGAACTCATGCTACAGTCTACAATGTGGAGACAGACATAAGCTTGATGTGCAACTTACTACACTTGGTAGAAAGGCTATTAATTTTAGATACTGCAGTTGCAAAGGGAAGTACTTCCAATCACGAGAGAGGAAGGAATGCTCTTCTATTCCTGTAATATTCACTGTTCAGTGTGCATAGGAGTCACTCAACAAAGGCTCCTAGTATTGCAACAGGAATGGCTTAACTTTGAGGAAGATCAGGCAATTCTTTTATTTATAGCTTGTGTGTGCAGTTTTATGTAATTTCGTAACAGAAGTGAGTACTACTGAACACTTTAGTACATAATTCTCTAGTTAGAAACCTTGGTGTTTGGAGGCAAAGTACGCTTACATGCTCAGAAGTTTGCCAGTATTGCCAGTCACAGAATCACAGAACCTTGCAAAAATATTGGTCAGAAGAGACCTCTGGAGATCATCTAGTCCACCTCAAAGAAGGTTCACCTTCAGTGTCCAGGACATTGTCCAATTAAATTTTTAATGTCTCCAGTGACAGCAATTCCGTAGCCCTCCCTGGGGCACTTGTTTGACTGCCCTCATGGTAAAAAACTGTTTCCTGACATCTAACTAGAGCCCTCCCACACTGCAACTGGCCTCTTGTCTCATCCCTGTGCACCTCTAAAGTAAGTCCCGTTCCACCTGCTCTACTCAAGGCTATAGAAAGCCCAGCAGTTCTGAAACAACTTTAGTGCTTATGATTGTGACAGGCACTGTACTCTCTGCAGTACAGGTTCTGAGTTTCAACCACTACTACACAGTAAGTCACAGACATACTTCTAACATCGGGTATTCTTATCCCTTTAGTATAAAGATGCTGTTGCTTTTTACAATGCCAGCTCCAGGTATCTCAAAGGATGGTGTGCTGCCATCTTTTACTCAGCAGGAAAACACAGACCTGTGTTTCACACAGCAGTAAACCTGGGAAGTCTTTTGTGAATGCCACAACTGGAAGCTTCCTTTCACCTCCCCCTTCTATGCCTAGAAAGGAGAAATCTGAGCCTGGTTTTATATAAAATCAATTTTCAAATTCTTTTTTAACTAAGAATGATTTCCCTGCTTTTTTGAATTTTTGATAAAGCTTCAAAGTATGAAAGATACTGTATCTTTTTTTACAGGTGGTAGAAATACGTCCATAGAACAAATGGAAAGTAGGATCTACAAAATCTTTGCATGGTAACATTATATCTACCATATAAATATTTGTGCTTATTGACTATTCTGATTCTCAGTTAAAAATAAAAGAATCAAGTAGAATTTATTTTAGGTGAGGCTGTTTTAAAAATTGTCAAGAAACTGTACCATCTTTCTGCTACCAGTTTTTGCACATTTAATGAGCTGTGGATGCAAAACCTAAATTGAGCATATGATGCGTATCAAAAAACTTGTAATAATTTAATTTACCAAATATTTATCTTACCAATCGTATACATCGTTCTTACAACTGTGGTAAGCACTGTAGCTGTACTAGTAATTAAAAATAGCACAGACATACTAACACACTCTAGCAATGTAAGGACATTTCAAAACAGGGTTCTTAGTGTTGCTTGACTGGTATTTCCATAAGAACACTCTGAAGTCAGATGCCATAACTCAGGAATTTTTAGTGTTGAACCATAGAGTTACCTTCTATATGAAGTCAGAGGCACCTGTGAGATGGAGAAATAAACACATGCTTCTGGCACCTGTTTTTTTTTTTTTTTTTTTTTTTTTTTTAAATCCACAAGAGTGGTTTTAGGAAAGTAGATTGGTCAAAATTTTGGTAGCCAGGGACAGCAGAAAAACTGATTTTCAGGGGCCTTTGTAAGAGAGATCTAGCTACTTATGCTAGTGTTTATGCTGTTTCTAGCAACACATCTTCTTTCCCTGGACTGAGTTCCTGGTTTACCTCTCAGTGTCCAGTCTTCTGGTGGAAGACCCTATTGATTGCAGCAGGAATAATAATCATGCTTCAGCATTTATAAGGATTAAAACCTATAAATTCTGTTCTCTCATTCTCTCATCATGTATTGAATAGTCAGATGACATCAGAACCCAATGACCTGGAAAAGAACAGCACAGAGGAAGACAAGGGTATGCCCTTTGGGAAAGTTCATGCTCACTGTGGCATTTTTTTCCTTTTTTTTTTTTTTTTTTTTTTTTTTTTTTTTTGTGTTTCTGAGGTTGCCTAATATTACATGTTCTGAATTATTCTCTGGATCCATCCACCTTTTGCTCTACTCCAGAGTCTGGAAAGACCAGCCTCCTAACTTAAATACTTAAGTTAGTTACCTACATTTAAATGATATGACCATCACAACACAGGTATATTTCTGGATCTTAAAGATCTCTAGTCACTTTCAGCAGTTCCCTGGATGTAGCTCTAGTATACAAAATAAATTCTGTATGATCCACCTGAACTCAACCTCCCCTCTTTGAGAAGATAACAAGAGGTTTTTATGGCAACTAGGAAATAGAGTGTATTATATACATCTGTAACACGCCACAAATGGTAATGTTGTTTTAGAAGAAAAATGCTGTGAATGGTAGAACTCACTTGAAAAGAGAGCTAGTCTTAGAACACTTGCACTTTAAACAATGGATCTGATCCTTCATATACTAAATACATATTTTAATACAGATATCTAAGTCTAGGAATCAAAGATACAAAATATCAGACTAGAGAATCAATGAAACATTTACTTGTACTACTGACATACATCCGATCTTACTGCTGTTATACCAGATTAGTCCTGCCTCATTTAATGCCTGAACTTAGTATGAATCAGGGCAATCTTACTGTGCCATTTCCCTGTTCTAAAGTTCCACCTCAATAATACTCTTTGAACTGAAACTTTATGTGCACCAATACTGACATGTCTTTTCCTCAACCTGCTCACACATGTATTTTATCAGGTGGCATATTGCTCACAGCTGAACAAATAGTTGGCATGTTCAGTTCCTCTGTATGGACTCTGCTATTCAAACAAAGAACATCGGTCTTGTTAGCCATGTTCATAGAATCACAGAACCATAGAGTGGTTTGGATTGGAAGGGACCTTAAAGACCATCTAGTTCCAACCCTCCAGCCATGGGCTATGGACACCTTCCACTAGACCAGGTTGCTCAAAGCCCAATCATCTTCGTGGCCTACTCTGGACCCACTCGAGCAGCTCCATGTCCTTCTTATGTCGGGGGACCCAGAACTGGACAGAGAACCGCAGGTGGGGTCTTACAAGAGCAGAGTAGAGGGGAAGAATCGCATCCCTTGACCTGCTGGCCACGCTTCTCTTGATGCAGCCCAGGATACGGTTGGCTTTCTGGGCTGCGAGCACACATTGCTGGCTCACAGTCAGTTTTCCAGTCACCAACACCCCCAAGTCCTTTTCCGCAGGACTGTTCTCCTCTGTTCATAAGAGGTTACTGAAAGACTGGAGAGACAAACATCGGGTTTTTTTATTCTAGTATCTGGACTGCATCTTACAATGGATGCAAACACTGCTCTAAGCAAACTCTGCTCATAAGCCAGTGTCCTTGATCTGTGACATGTCTTGTGCTTGTAAATCATAACACATATGAACCTCTACTGTAATGCCCCAGCAGACCTCTAAATTACCTTTTATTTTGGGAGTTTTTTGACCTTTTTTTGTTTTGTTTGTATACTAGCCAAACTTAGACGAGTTTTCTGAATTTGGGTAAGCAGTGCCCATACAGAAGCCAGTTTCCCAATGCTCTCAGACTCTGCTAGCAATTTTGGAGGACTGTTAACTCTTCTCGAAGAAAAATCACTGAAATACGTAGGGGCAAAATTGATGTTTGAAAATGCTTGATTAAATTTGGCTGAAACTTTTCAAAGTTTTGCAGTGCTTAATAGTTGAAATGCAGTGTTCTGTGGAAGCGATATAATAAAACAGTAGCAGCTATAATGAATAACCCATCAGTTTCACTGAGAATGTTTATATGAGTCATTATACGCTTTTACAGGTACCTCTGTACCTAAGGGTTTTGAAGGCTGCATATATCTACAATGTGTTCTGGTCTACATCAGCTATTATTAAATTTATATTAAGTTTATTTGAGGAACAGAAAAAGAACCCTGCAGTGTATACCTATTTCCGATTTAAAACTTTGTAATAAACAAGTCAGCATTTTCACTAACACTGTGTCCTTTAGATGTCCACTACAAAGGCAAATATTTTTCAGTATTTCATGTCTTGTTACACATACTGACATCAGGTAGGCGATATATGGTTTTCTGGTTTTGCCAATTCACAAGCACGCTGACAAAGAATACCATTTTGATCACCTTACCCTAATTAGCCTTAATTATAGCCTTCTTCACAAGGTAGTCTTTAGATGTATTAATACATATTTATCTGCGGGGCATATTGTGAGTATAGGAGGACACTTCTCTGATTTGCATAAAGAGGCTTTGGAGTTGTCAGCTGGCTTTGTATGGAATAGCAATAATCTTCTCAGATGCTTAAAAAAGCTACAAACACCTCACACGGTCGCATCTGGCAACGGTAAAATATTTGTCATTACACGCAAGAATCAAGTATGGAATAACTCCGGACCATTTATTTGAGTACGCGTGGTCACGGTACGTTTTGCAGAAACGCGGCGTACATCCTCTACGTGATGCACTTAAAATAATCAGTCTCCAGTACACGCAAAATAAAAAAGCAAGGAAGAGACGTGAGGCGAGAAAAATACTTGGGACTAGTTAACACTTAAGTAGGTAAGCCCCTTCTGTCTAAACAGCCCTGCTCATTCTAGTGCACCAAAGCACGGCTCCCACGCTTTTATTGGCCACTTAATTGTTACCTGGCACCACCGTGCCGAAACGGCCCTCAACTCCAGGGTCCCGCTGAAAACTGAAACGACAAGCTGGCCGAACACGCCGCCAACGCCTTTCAGCGGGCTTCCGTGAACACGGCACGGCACGGCACGGCACGGCACGGCACGGCACGGCACGGCACGGCACGGCTGGCTCCGGGTTCTCTGGCGGCGGAACGACTCGCGGCCCCCGCCCGCGGCCCCCGCGCGTCCCCCACGGCGGCCCCACGGGAGGCTCCCGCGCGCCGGGGGGCGGGGGCGGCTCCGCCGCAACAAAAGGCGAGGCCGGGCGCGCGGTGGCGGCCGCTGCCCGCCGCCGGCCAGTAGGGGGCGCTCGAGCTTCACCGTGCGGCGCTGCGCGGCGGCAGCGGCCTCGCCGGCCCCTCGGGGCCGCCCCGCTCTTGCCGTGCCTCTGCGCCGTCACCCCCAGCCCTCTTCCGACGCCGGCCACTTTTGAAGTCCGTTTTCATTCACGTTGCTCCTTCCTCCGGGTGCCCGGCTTTTTTTTTTTTTTTCTTTTTTTTTTTTTTTTTTTTTTTTTTCCCCTCCTGCGGTGGTTTGGGGTTTATTCTGGCGTTTGACAGCCTCTGTCGTGCGCGCAGGGGAGAGGGGCTGTTCTCCCTTGTTCCTTGGGGGGTGGCACTGCCACTTCTCTCGTCTCCCTCCTTCACCGCCCCTTCCGGGGATCGCGGTGGGCTCCGCGAAACTTTCCCGCTGCCGGGAGTTGGGCTGCAGCCGAGGGGCCGCGGCCGGGGGGGACTGGGGGGCCCGAGGTTGCTCGTTCCCGGGTTTCGGCTGAGCAAGCCGGCCGGTCCTACAGACCTCGTAGGTCACGCGTGATCTATTTTATTTTATTTATTTGCCACCTTTCCTTTTCCACAGAGTGGATCAGCAGAAAAATCCCATGGGGGAAGACCCTTTCAAGGGTCTCGCTCCCGAGTGTCTGTGTATGTGCAGAGAGGGAATGAATAATTAGAGAACAGTTCCATGAAATCACTTACCGAAAAATTAGCTGCCCATTAAGTGCGAAGCGGTGAGGAGCAAATCATGTAAATTCTACCTATACCCAACTGTAGAGGAGAGGCGCGGGGGGGCGGGGTGGGGTGGTGGTGTGGAAACACGACACACTGCCTGATTCCCCGTCCTGGGGCTGTCGCCTTACATTGCCGTCCCCATCTCCCTACCCCGGGAGGAGAGGGACGCGTGGGTGTGGAGCGCAGTGGTTTAGTCCACACCCCGCAGCCTCCCTTCCCCAGGCAGCCTCGGGAGCCGCGCTCATTCTCCTCCCTCTCCTCGCCAGCCGGTGTGTCCGCGGCGGCAGGAGGCGGAGGCGGCGGGAAGGGGGCGAGGAGCGCGGAGCGGAGCGCGGGGGCGCGGAGCGGAGCGGAGCGGCGGGCGCCGGGGCCGCCCGGGAGAGCGGCGGCGGCGGCGGCGGCGGGAGCCCCCGCACCCCCAGGGCAGCCACAGGCAGAGCCGCCCGGCGGCCCGCCGCCGCTCCCGCCCGCAGCGGCACCGCGCCGGAGTTGCTGCCCTCGAGCAGTTTCCGCTCTTGGTTTTCAGTGAGGAGGGAGGTGGAGGGAGCCGGGTTTTATTTTGAGGGCATGCTGAGAAAGCCGTTCCCCTCCTGTAGCACATTGCCTAGGCGTTCCTATTATGGAAGTTAAGTGAGAAACTCTGCAGCTTGAACTGATTTGGTAGAGAAAGAGAGAGAAAGGGGTAGGGGGAGGGCGAGAGGAAAGCAAAATAGCCAAACCAAGCCAATGATTTTCCTGCAAAGTGCCGGGAAGTTTGTGGAGCACTTTCTAGGAATCAGGTCCTTTCTCAGAGTCTATCCTTGTCTTCCGAAGAAAGAGCTTGCTTTTGGATTGCCATGGATCCTAAAGAGAGTCTTAGACACACTTGAATAATTCCCTCTGCCTGGGCTGGATTGGTGGGAATTTAGGAAGGAGCGTGTGTGTAAAGCAGAAGCCTTCGGAGCTCGCTCGCTGCTCTAATCTGTATGGATCTAAAAGTGCCATATTCAAGATCTTTCCATCTGCAGCTTTTGATTTCAAGATTTCCCTTTCCACTTTAAGTAGCTGCTAGGAAACTGAAAACTTTTGGACCTACCTCTTACTGGCTTTGGATACCTTTTTTTTTTTTTTTTTTTTTTTTTTTGGATCTCAGTGGAATTGGTCTCTCAAGCGATCGGGATTGCTTTTAATATGTCAAAATGGGTTTGCTGACGCCACTCCTGCTCTTTGGATTTGCATTTTTTCAAGTCTGTGGTAAGTTCTCTTATTTTAGATATGCCGTTTCTGTGCAGAAATCCCCTTCATCTGAATGTGATTTGGGACAGCACATGGACGGCATTATAAGCTTTAACATTACAGAGCCTTAAGTCTGTTTCTGGTATAGAAATGGTACCTCGCGGGGGGGTGGGGGGGGGAGGGAGAATACATGTTTCCAGTAAGCAGTCCTTCCCGTCTGCTAACTTAACGGAGAAGCAGCTTATGAACGGAAGAATGTCAGCTTGAGGTAGCGAGAAAAGAGTAAAAACTACCTTCCTTTTTTTTTTTTTTTTTTTTTTTTTTTTTTTTTTTTATTGCGGGGGAAGGAGCGGGAAGGAGCAAGGAAAGGCACAGCTAGCTGTTGTAACTGATATTACTTTGCCTCCTCCTATTGTTAAACTTTCCACCGGGAGAGCCAGCTGATGAAATCGGTGGGTTTAGCTCTGCCTCGGCTCCAGGTGAGGCGACCTGGCGCATTTCCAGAGTCCCCGCCGGCCCCCTCCGGCGCTGGGGGGGGCGGGGGGTGGGCCCGGCAGTCCCGCGCGCAACACCGGCCACGCCGCTTCGCCCCCACCCACGCCCCGCGGGGCTGCGCAGGTGCGGCGCGGCGTGGCGTGGCCGGCCCGGGGTGGGGCGGGAGGGTCTTCCCATCGCCTACCCCCTCGTGACGGGCTTTCCGGAGGGAGGCTTGTCACGGAGCTTAGCAACGCTTGGGGGAAAGGGTGGGTGGGTGGGTGGATGGATGGATTGATTTAAATTTCTCTCCCCCCTTTGGGTGCGCTCTAGCACACTTCTTGCGGTTTTCAAGTCTAAGTAGTGATTGGGGAACTGTAAATTAGCATCTTGGGGAAGTAAGCTGTCGTAGGGCGAGAACTTCAGCGCAGGGGTAAATTGTCTGCCGAAGTCGGGGTCGGCGCTGTGCTGCAGCGTAGGCGCTGGATGCGTTACAGCAGTGCGGGCACACGGCTGGGAAGCGAGCATCTGTAACGGGATACAGCCCTACACGGGTGTGTGCTGGGACCAAACGCTCGCAGCCCTCCTAGTATTGAGTATTTACATCTCTGAGCAGTCTTTTAGACTTCAGGTGAATTTAATGTCCGGGACCCTGGGTGGTTTTGCCTGCTAGAGCAAACTTTGTTCCAGGAAGCTACTTACAGCATTTACTGTATCGGTCCCGAAGCTAGAACTCCAGCTTTATTGTTTGCAGTCACAGGCTGCTTTGAGTATTTCTCCCTCTCCTCTCATCTTCCTCCACCCCCTAGCAAGAAAGGAGGCAAAATAGACGAGAAGAGAGAGTCATTCAAGTAGTTTTACATTGGTTGAATAATATGCTCTGCAATTTCATGTTCAGTTTGGTCTACCGATAAGAAAATTTCTGTGTAATGTATGTGCATGCTAAACAATAGGAAGTTTTAACTGTGAAAGGATTTAATGGAACATTTGCATCTATCAGCATGTTCAGAGTTTTGTGGGGATTTTGTTTTCTGTTTGCTTTATTTTTTCTACTGTAACATATTTTGATCCTTAACTTTGAGACCCACCAGTATTGGAGATATCTTTAGATACAAACTGAAAGCATCAGGCTGTAGATATGTAATTATTAGTAAGTGTTTAAAATTGTATGTAGCTAGAAGGAATACAATTAAAGTGCTCAGTGGAAGTGACAGAGTGAATCAGAGGAGCTTGGTGTTACAGAATGTAATTAATGTACCAGGCTGTTTGGAGATATATGAAACAAATGCAATTAACCAGCTTGCAGGAACGACAGGAGCAAGACATAATTTATGCTAGTTTTGTCCTGGGGAACACAAGTAGAACCTTTGTTCTGGTTTAGCCTTACAGGACTAGGGTGGTGGTGGTGGGGATGCAGCTGAAGCACATAGCTAATTTAGAACTGAACCATTAGAAAAAAATGCCACGAAACTGCCCAGAGTAGATACCATCCTCCTCTTTTGTGGGAAGATATTGCAGAGACTGTCAAGTTTGCCTACATTAACAAGTCTCTCAAATAAATAAATAAATTAAAAAATGCATAAATAAATAAATAAATAAAAAGGCTTGCGGATAGCACAGTGTGACCAAGTAGAGAGAAGCTGTTATTGTCAAAATGACTAACAGATAGCTTTGAAGAAATATTGGCATACAAACTTGGCACTCAGTACCTTTGTCTCTTTAGAAGCATAGTAATTACTTTTACACCTTTGGGTGACATATACCACCAGTTGCTTTGAAAATAGATATATCAAATTACTGTTTGTAATGCTTTAGTTTAAAAAAAAAAAAAAAACAAAAACCCAATAGACCTCTTGTTTAATAGGTCCTTGGTTTGTTTTCTATGTTTGAAAGTTAGTTATTAATGTGTTCCTGCTTTTGAAGGTTTTTTTGTTGTCAGGTTTAGTGGGGTTTTTTGTTCTCTTGGCATCAAGTCCAGACAGAGACACCGTAGCATTTGAGGCATATTAACCATCCTTTTCTCTGTGACATTAGTTTTGTTTAGTGAATCAGAAGTGGTATTACACAGTGCATAATGATGTAGATCAAAATGATAGTTTTTTTCTTCTAAATCTTTTTTCTCTGTCCATGCTGTTGTGACAGCTGAAAATTGCAAAGCTCAGTGAAAATGTCAGAAAGCATGTGATAAATATATAGACATATATTTTTAAATTCTTTTTTATTATTGTGCTTACAATTTTCCTGTAGCCCTGCCCATATTCTTGCAGTCTGTTCAGGGAATAACTGTAATTCTCTTTTTCTTTAGCTATTAATCTTGGTTACTGTTCTTGAAAAAACACAAAAAAAATCAAGCACACAAAAAACCCTCAAACAACAAAACATACCATTAGACAGAGTCTGTACCATAAAATAAAACACTGGCTATTGGAGTTAAAACGGCTGATTACATGGGTTTTTTTATAGTGTTCAATTGATTTTTCTTTCATTGTTATGTGTTTTTTGTTATCTTTCTTCCAATCATTAGTAAAGCTTGAAAGAATGAATATTAACAGAAAAGGTCACAACTACTGTGAACACAGGTGTGTGGATGTTACCACAGACACTAGTTTTAGTGGGTCAGACTCTGCCCTGGTAGGACTTGTAGCTTTCAATGAAAATTACAACCTTTTATGTCAGGGCTGGCTTTTAGCCATTGTCCCCTTGAAAACTGCAAGTGTGATGCTCTTGAATGGTGTTAAAGATATATGAGAATAACTCTGTAAAAGCAACGTTTTATCTCTGTATTAGTATATTTCAAAAGCACTTACTTTCATAATGAAAAGTATGCATCTGAAATGGTTGGATGGCTCAAGCATTCTATCTTTCTTTTCCTTTTTTTTTTTTTTTTTTTTTTAATTAATTTTATTTCTTCACACCAGTGAGCTACACATCTGTGGCCTTGTGCAGGTCTCTGTTGCCTATCAGAGAACATGGGTTACATATAAAGCTAGAGTATATTCTTCCACTGAGTGTTTGAGCTGACAGGGTCTTGAACTCTCATGTGAGTTTTGCTGTTGATGGATAACCTTTGCTTCTGTGGAATGTGTGCATTCTAATGCATTAAGAGTAAAATTCTGAAGTGGAGAGTTTGTGATTCTTATTTCCTTTTGCCCGTTCTTCCACAGGACTTGATTCTGCAGAGTGGTTAAGTATGTGCTTCCGTGTCTTATCCATAACCTCACTGAAGTTAATAAGAATTTAAACGTGTTCCAAGTTAGTCACATGCTTCAAAACTTTGCTAAGTAGGGATGAATTTATGCCCATGATGAAACTTTTTGTTGAATTAGTTTTAATATTTTGCCTTCTGTACTTCCTGTCTGGTAAGTTGTTATTGCAACAACATATATTTATGTGCAAAAGATAGGCAATGAGGAAATCTGTCATTGCATTTCCAGAGATGGGTGTGTTTGAGAAGTAATGGGATAATCCCAATAATCTTCTTTTGTTCCTTTGCTAATTTGGTATGTTGCAAAAGGTCTGATATCCCACAGTTCTTTCAGAAAAGTTAGAATAGAGGTTTTCAAACTTTTATGTGAGTCACACTTACCACAATAATTCTTCTATTAAGAACTTTATGGAATGATGAGACTGATGTTGCTCAAGGAAAAGACATTTTAGCAATGCAGGCTAAAGATACGCAATCTTAGAAATAGACAGAGGGGTTTAAGTACATTTTTAAGGATGCATAAAAAGCACTGAGGAGATGCACCAAAAAATTCAGTGAGAGGAAATGGAGGCTTTAGCTAGTCTGTCCAGTCAGCTCAGTTTCCCGGAGTAGCTTTTCTACAGCAATGCTATGTAGGCTCATAGCACTAAATTCAGGACATGCTCTGTCCGCTGCTGAACCGTTTAGTGGAAATCGCTAAAGAGTATGCCATGGCTTCTTAGCCATTTTCTACCCTTGAATTGCTATTCAAATATTTATCTCAGCTAAATAGATTGCTAACAGGTTCTGTACATTCTGTTTCAGCCACCTAAGAGGAACACTGCTGTCAGGTTTTGTCTGTTATCTCAGCTGGCATGGCAGAGGTTTCTCTTCCTGTGGCTGCCATCTGGCTCGCTACCTCTCATACCAACCTTGTGGAGGATACTTACTAATCATATTGATGCTGTTTTTTGCCAGAAGGCTAGGTTACTAGTGCTTTTTCCTACATTTCTATAGAAATCTCTTTATTTTGTGTGCAGAAGAAAGCAAGTATTCATTCTTGCCAAATAAATGAATGTGTTGTTTTTTTGGTTCTGTCTGAACAGACATATCTCACATGTAACTGCTGAATTTTTACAAACTTTTATTGTTATCCAGGCTTTCTTGCACTTATGTTTTTACAGTACACATGCCTTGTAGATTCAAAAAAATTCCTTTAAATTTTGGTGAATGAAGGGGTACAGATTCTGTACTTAAGTCAGTACTTCAGAGAGAATGTTGAGGATACCTTTTATGCAGGACTAGTCATGTGAAATGTTAGTTATGAGATCTCTGAATGCAAAATAATTACACGGAAATA